AGAGAGGGGAGGTGCCAGGGTCTTTTTAAGGAACCAGGTCTCATGGGAACTAACAGAACAAGAACTCACTCAAGCTCCCCTCCCCCAGGGAGAGCATTAATCCATTCATGAGGGATCTGCCCCCATGACTCAAACAGCTCCCAACACTGCCACATTGGGGATCAGATTTCCACATGAGTTTTTGTGGGAACAAAACATCCTAACTCTATCAACGTCTCCACATCGTTCCCCTCCATCTTTACAACTGGAGCTTTACAACTATCTACCCACCATGATCTACATTTCTTGGCTCCATTTGAATTCATCTCAGTTTCTTTTGATTAGTGCGAGTATCAGCCACCAAGATGGTTCCCAAGTATTTCTGACTCGTGGTATTCACATCCCTAGTAGTACTCTGCCATATTGAATAAAGCTGACCTATGTAACCAATAGGATATTGCAGAATAACAGTGTGTGTGTGACTTCTGAGGCTGTTAGAAGAGACACTGAGGTTTTCACCTTACCCTCTTCCATCATTCACTCTGAAGAAAGCCATCTTGTGAGGACACTCAAGTAGCCTGTGGAGAGGACCACATGAGGAGGAACTGAGGTCTTCTGCTGACAACAGCACAGTGCAAGTGATCCGTCTTGAAAGGGGAGCTTTCAGCCCCAGTCCATCCTTTAGATGACTGTTGCCCTGAATGATATCTTGATTATAACTTCATGAAAGACCCCAAGCCTGAACTGTCCACCTAAGCCACTATTGAATTCCTGACCCACAGAAACTGTAAGATAATATTTATTATTGCTTTAAGTGGCTAGTTTTGGGATAATTTGTTATGTGGCAAGAGATATTGAGTACCTGGAGGTGGGACATGGCCCTAGGAAAACCTGAAGTGTGGGAGTGGCTTTGAAATAAGAAAATGAGTGGAATATGGAAAGCCTTTGAGGGCAGTGTTAGTGAAAGTATAATCTTCTAGACCAATGCCAAGCAGGAAAGCGGGGTCAGAGCCCCCTCAGAGAGCCCCCACCAAGGAAATGTCTAGTAGAGCCAACGCAGCAGGGCTGCCGCCAGGACCCCAGAACTTCGGGGCCACTGGTAACGTGCAACGCAAGCCTGGAAATGCCACACTCACCAGTGTGGCCTACTGGACTGTGCATGGCAGAGCTGTGGGAACAAGGCTGCCTGATGCTTTGGGGGCCCAGATGAACCATCATGCCTAGGATGCAGGACTTGGAGTCAAAGAACATTATTTTGGAGCTTTAAGACATAATGTCTGCCCTGCTGGGTTTCAGATTTGTTTGGGGCCTGTTTTTCCTTTCTTCTGGCCTATTCCTCCCTTTTGGAATAGGAATGTGTACCCAATGCCTGTTCCACCATTGTATCTTGGCAGGAGATAAATTTGGTTTTGTTTTTCAGGTTCACAGCTGGAAGGACTTTTGCTTTTGGTCTCAGATGAGACTTTGGACTTTTAAGTTGGTGCTGGAGCAAGCTAAGACTTTTGGGACTGTTGGGATAGAGTGATTGTATTTTGTATGTGAGAGTGACATGAGTTTGGGGGGGCCAGGGACGGAACGATGGAGTTTGGATGTGCTGTCCCCTCCAAAACTCATGTGGAAATTCAATCCCCAATGTGGCAGTGCTGGAATCTGACTGAATCATTGGGGTGGATCCTTCATGAATGGATTAATGCTCTCCCTGGGGGAGGGGGTAGTAATGAGTGAGTTCTCGCTCTATTAGTTCCCATGAGAGCTTGTTGTATATAGAACCCTGGCACCTCCTCTCTCTCTTTTGCTTCCTCTCGCCATGTGATCTGCTTGTACCCGCTGGCTCCCTGCCACTTTCTGCCATGAGTAGAAGCAGCCTGGGGCCCATGCCAGATGCAGCTGTCCCAGAATCGTAAGCCAAATAAACCTCTTTTCCTTATAAATTAACCATTCTCAGGTATTTCTGTTATAGCAACACAAAATGGACTAAAACATATAACATGCCTTGAACAAACCAGTAGTAGAAGCCTGATTGCCTTTAGGGAGGCTGCCAGTGAGGGCTTAAAGGGAAGTGAGGAAATTGCTATGAAAAACTGAAGGAAAGGGGATCCCTGTTATGTAGTGGCAGAAAATTTAGCAACACTGTCTTCTTCATTAAGGTGGAGGTGGGAAATACATTAATGAAGTGGGTGATTTTGAACAGGAGTATCTACAACTATAGACATCCTGTTTTTTCCTACCATTGCACAGTATGTGTGAGGCAGGTGGATTAGTCTTTAGTTTGGATGTCTTCAGATGAAGGATAACTGCATTCAAGGAGATGTACTTGAACTATTCCCAAGGAGTCTCATCCCCACCTGTACTTGATTGGGATAGCAAGGTTATGGACGTTGAGCTGGTGCTGTAATGGGATAAGACTTTTGGGTGTCATGAGAAGAGGTGACAATATTTTGTATGTGGTAGGATATGAAACACTGGGGACCAGAGGGCCTTCTATGGCAGCCCAATCATCCCCACCTCCTGGTATTCATGCTTTTGTGTAGTCCCTTCTCATACTGAATAAAGCTGACCCATGCAACCAGTGGGATATGCAGAAATGACAGTGCGTGACTCCGAGGCTAGCATAAGAGATATTGCATATTCTTCCTTGTTCTTTCTCTTAGATCATTCATATTGGGAGAAGCCAGACAGTATGGCACGACAACACTCAAGCATCAGGAGGTACTGAGGCCTCCTGCCAACAACCACAACCATGTGAATGAACCATTTTGGAAGGACATCCTCCAGGCCCTGCCAAGTCTTCAGAAGACTGCAGCCCCAGTGGTATCATAAATGCAGCCTCATGAGAGAACTCAAGACAGAACCACCCCAGCGAAGCCACTACTGAATTTCTGACCCACAGAAACTAGGATAATAAATAAACTGCCAATTGCTTAAGTAATTTGTTACATAGCAATCGATAACTATAGGAGTCTGGGTTTTTTAGTTTCATATCATTATTACTTCTTTCCTTCTATCTACCCACCAAATATTCTGTAATAAAAAATATTTTTAGAAATCGTTCTTCATATGATACTGGAAAGAATGATTCCTCCACTTCTGTGACCACACAAAATATTTTTCTATTCATCTTTGCCTCAAGAAGATTAAAGAGATACACTAGGTGAAATCCACAGAGGGACTTTAAAATCATCAGAGGAATGGCTGCCAGAGCTCCAATGGAATCCATTCCAGCCACAGGGACAGCAGAAAGTAACAACGCACCTCAGTCAATGTGAATCAGCAGAAAAAAATGAAATTCTATTTAAGAAAGCCATATTTCCAGATTACCTTGTCCAGTTAAGGAACCGGCCACAAAAATCAGGTTTGCCTTAAGAATTGTCAAGTTAAATGAAGGATGCAGAGGTGGGAGAACAGCAGCCATTATGGGGGCAAGGCCAGACTCTTCCAGCCAAGAGGAAGGTGGCTATGTCACCCATTCATTCCAGCGCTGATGGCACATTCTACCCGAGGTCTCAGATTCTCCATATGTCAGTCCATATATTTGTGAACTTGACTCTAACATTATACCTTGTCCTTCTTTGTAGGCTGGAGACAAAAAACCCTCTAGTGAGAAGTCTAGACTTCACGAATGAGAGATTATCTCTGACATCAAGCCCCTTGTAGACTTGATTAAATGAGTTAACCCATGTATTTTGTTAGACACATAGTAAGAATGCAATAAATGTAAACTATAATCAAGCGATAATATGATTAAAGGTACTTACAGAATAACGAAGTTGACAAAATGGTAATTTCCATGCTATTTCTCTCTAGCACCCTCATGTAATTAAAAGACCTGATGCCTTTCATATCAATTCTATGAATATTTGATGTCCACTGTCACTTGACTGGAGAGTAGGAACATTGGTGGATATTTAACTGGGCTTTATTTGCAACGCTTGAATTAAACATGCGTGAACTTCCCAAGCCTATGAGTGGCTGCTTGCACGTGACCTTTCCCTTCCACCTACTCTTGGGCCCCTTCATGTGGTGTTCAAGGGACTAACTCTGTCACTTCGTGGAATACTTGGAGAATGACCTGACCCCCCCTCTCTCTGCTGTCACCTCCTTATTTCCTAAACAGGGAACGTTGCATGTTTTGCTTGTTCTTCTTTCAAGTGTCTATAAATGCTCAGGCTAGAGTTGTCTCAGCTATGGATATCTTTCCTTCATTCCCTTTTCATTTCATTTTTTGTCCTTTCAACTCACTTTCTTCCCCTTTTTGGTTCATTTATAACCCAAATACTGATCAAATTGATTTTTTTCATCTTTTGTTTTATAGGTATGTCTACTAGCAGCGTAAAAGGATTAGAAGTGCCTGGGCCATCAACATTTAATGTGACAAAACATTTTGAAAATTCTTAGAATTTTTCTTTACAACCTTAAATATTTCTAAGATTCTGAACATCTCAAATTAAACCTCCTTTAATTCAACCAGTGGGATCCTTGGTCAATTAGTTGACTGACTTTTCATTATGTTGTATTTGTCTTATTCAGTTAATAATATAAATTCTATTTTACTATACAAGAGTACTTCAAAATGTTCATGAAAAATAGAATTGAAAGATAATACCAATCTTTCCATAAACTTTTTGAAGTATTCTCACATACTTTTACATATGTTCAACATGCATTTTGTACATTGGCCTTTGCAATATTAGAACTTAAAGATATATTAAAGTAAAAACATTATTTTATCTAATTAATTGTGTCAGTTAATAGAGCAAATGAACAACTTATTACAGAAAGTATTTCATTTATATATAGCCTAGGTACCAAATGCTTGGTTATATGTTATTTAAGTTAGTTAATGCTTTCTACCTTAAGAATGGATAGAATGTCAGTAAAATTGACATGCAAGGATCCCCATTCATAAAGTACAGCAATACCACATAGTTTAGCCTAAGTAATGGCTCAGGTTGGTTTTTATGAAAGTAAGTGCTGAGACAAAGTCTGGGGTGCAGGTAGTTTATTGAGGATCAACATCTGTGAAAGGAAGGGGAGGAAGGAGCATTGGGCAGAGGAAAAGTGACAGGGGTCTGGAAAGCCTCGGCCAGTCTCCTGGAGCAAGCATCTGCTGTTGCAGTTGGACAAGAGGGCAGATGCCTTATTCCCGCCTCGCTCAGCCTCTGGATGGGAAGCTCATGGAAGGGCAAGGTGGTTCTTCGAAGCTGTGAGGAGATAGTGAAGGAGCAGTCCGCTAAAAATGGTCTGCTATCACGTTCCCTGCAGCTGGACAGCAAGCCCTTCATTCAAAGGGGATCTGGTGGTGTGTCTCTGTGTCTATCATACATGGCATTTTTGAAATTATGTTCTAGAGCACCAGCCTTCTGCAAGATGTACTGGCAATGTCCTTGGGATGCCTGTTCACATTCCCCTATTGTATTAGTCCATTTCTGTTGCTTATAACAAAATACACAGAACTATATATATGCTATAATTTATAAAGAAAATGAAATTTATTGCTTACAGTTTCTGAGGCTGGAAGTCCAAAGTCCATCTGGTCGTTGTGATAGTGACCCAGTGGTCTCACACTGCAAGATGGTGGAAGCAGAGAGAGTGGAGAGAGCAAAGAGAGCAGAGACAGACAGACAGACTCTTCATTCTCCCCTTTTAAAACCCTCAGAACCACACCCCTGACCAAGATTTTTAATCCATTCACTACGGCACAGTCCTACAATCTAATCACTTCTTCAAGGCTCCACCTTTCAATCACCATAATAGGATTTCCCACCCTCTTAACAGTCATAGTGGAGGCCAAGTTTCTAATACCTAAAACTTGGGAGACACAATTCAAGCTTCAATGAGCTTTGGGGGGACATTCAGTCCACTACACCCATCATACATGGACGTCAGACCGCATACATGAACACATTAAAGTCCCTGAGAAGTCAGTAATCAAACCTGTTTGACATTATTTAATTCATTGGTTGCCACTATTTAACCATAGAGCACTTTTTGGGAGCACTAAAAGAAAAAATGCTGTCCAACACAATTTACTAAGTACCTAGACTTTCTTTGGATAGAAACTGCACTTCTTTCCGATAATGGGAACAATTACTTGCTTAGGAAGAAAGGTAAAGGCTTGGTTAAATATGCTCTCTAAACCTCTAAAGAGAAGTACAGCTTATATATCCTCCCATCTTAATTGCTTTTAAGTAAAGTAGTAAAATAGAACAAGTCAGTTAATAGCCACTTTCTATAACTAATCACCATAATTATAGCTCTGCCTAAAACTTGGAGCTCAGGATAAAAGTCCTGTGAAAATAAGCCAGATGCTCAGCAGAGCTGCTCAAACCCACACAAATGAGCCAGTTCAACAGGATATTCACATTCACATACGGTACCCACTGCTTTTAGCTTAAGGCTTAGAGGGGAGTTAGTCACTAGAAGACCATTTATTCAGCCTGCTGCAAGTTGATCACATTCACATACGGTACCCACTGCTTTTAGCTTAAGGCTTAGAGGGGAGTTAGTCACTAGGAGACTATTTATTCAGCCTACTGCAAGTTGATTTTTTTTGTGCCTCTGATCTATATTTGGGGTGTACTAAAAGTGGCCAAGAATAGGAGTCAAGAAAGAGAAACAGTTTTTATGACTTTCATGTAATGAAACTGCTAAAGATGTTCTAGTTTTCTGGTTGTAACCCACACATCTCCAGCCTCCTGTATCCATGCGGCATCCCTGGGCTGTCAGGCTTGTCTTTGTTTCCACTTTGCTGGCTCATCAGCCCCCATCCACCCATACAGGACTTGAGTCTAGAGCAAACCTGAGACCCCCTGGGCTGTCCTAGAAACCACCTTGGAGATGCAGAGTGGTGGTGAGTGGGTTTCCTCCTGGTGCTGTCCTCCACCTTTGCTGATGATGTCTGCTGTGTCTGGCTCTTTGGGAGGCTGCTCCGACTGCCAGTGCACTTCTAGGTTCCCAAAGCTGTAAATCCCTCCAGATGCTGATGGGGCCATATGGCTTCCAATCCATATTCCTTCCCAGACACCACACACAGCATAGCACAGATATAGAGAAACCATCTCTCCAGCTATTAAGAGGGTCACACTTGGCCCTGAAGCTGGAGAAGACACTGCTTTGTACCATGGAGTCTTAATAGCTCTTTAACTGCCACTTAACATCCCTAAATACAGGAATCAGACCTACCTAGTCCCTCAAGTTGGGCCAGAAGACAGAGAAATGAAGAATGTGGTAGTCTCTACCCTACCACCCTTTCCTCCATGAGAAACTTCTTTCTTTTTCTTTCTCCATGCAAATTACTCATGTAATTTGAGGCTTTGGGACCAGCAGTGAAACAACCAGAAACATAGTGGAGAAATTGTACTCCTGCCCCAGTGGTTCAAACACAGTTTCTTCTCAATGGGAAGGAAAATTATTATTATTATTTTTTCTTTCTTTCCAAAGACTCAAAGAAGTTCCAATGGCATTGGAAGGAAGGGTGGCTCTTCTGTGGGCATGTCAGCCCGATTTTTCTGTTAATGCCATCCTGTCTGTCAATTCAGAACACTGGAAATTCTGTGGTGATCAGCCACTGCTTAATGTGGAGATTATAAACGCATACATAGTGACAGCAGCTCAAGATCCCCTTATCATAGCTTCCCCTCCTATCATATAAACCATGAGAAGGAGCTTGGTGGAAAAAGTGGGTGGGAAAAACACAATTTAATTTTCAAAGCTTCAAAAGATTGGCATGTTACATATTTTGTAAATCCACCATATTCAAAAAGGATATGTGCCTAGGCTTCTTGGAAAGAAGCTACTAATGTCGACAGTGCCCAGCCTAGAAGTCAACTGCAGATAATTCCCATAGTGCTGAAAGGTCCTGCTTCTCTCTGCCTGAGGGTGTTCTCTAGGAAAGTGAGCACCTAGGCCTATTTGCAGGTCTAGCTAGAGGTGCAAGCAGGTTAACACCCAGGGTCCACCTTCAACCAGAGAGGGGCAGGAGTTTATAGATAAATACCTTAAAATTCTCATTTCTTGATGGGACAGTTCTGAGGGTGCTCTACGAAGTTTCTCACAGGGCCCCCAGTAGGATTATTCTCATTACCCACAGCAGTAACCTGCTCATTAATGCAACCTTAATTTTTTTTTTTTTACTTTTCTGTCTCACTTGCCAACTCCCTCACCATATTTCCTGGCATATTTCCTCTCAAATAAATGACCTGCATCCAAATCCTTATTTTGAGTTTAGCTTGGGGGAGCCCAAGCAAAGAGAAACCCCATACAAAAATCTGAGATTTTATTTCTGAAGTCTTACATGGAGCTTCGCAAACCTCCTATGGTGTTGACCTCTGAGATGTTTTAATAGAACCAGCATTGGATTTACCAACAGTTGGAAAAATTCCTATGTCTTTGCTCCTGGGCCTTCACAGACCAGGAGAAAATGGTGGATTGGCTCGCTGAGAACAGTCTGCAGCTGATAGTACTAGAAAAAGATGGGAAGGCTTAGAAAGTACCTCCAAAGGAAGGAAGGGAGGATAAATCCACTTTGATCAGGCATTAGAACTCTGGAGGAGCCTGATGGGGACAAGGAGACTGTGCTTTGTATTAGTCCTTATCGGTGACTTCAATTTGGCTAATGTCTTGCAGTTTATGGGCAATGGATTAGCATCACTGGAAGATGTGGGAAAAGCATTAAGCATGCATACAAGGAAAGAAAACAAGCTTTTGCAAATCTCTTGCAGAAGGTAGCATAGGAGGAAGCAATAGAATGGGGTCTGACAAACCACCCACATTGAAGCAAACTTGGAGATACTGCTTATGGTCACTGTGGAATCTCATAGTGCCTGAGGAAGTAGGCTTTGAATTCTCACTGCTACCAAAGCTAATTTAGTGGAACCAGGAGAAGCAGGTAGCATTGGAGGCTGGCAGAAAAGTTGCTCAATATTTTCAGCCCAGAGGCTAAAATCATCAGTGAAAGGAACTAATATGGGTAAGGCCCAGAAATCTGAAAATGTAGATTACTGAGCTCCCCTCTGGATCAAAAGGCCACTGGAAAAAGAAACCTAGGGTTCAATATTTTGCCATCAGGATTATGAAGATGGGCAAAGAAAGTCAGCTGTAGTCACTAGGTAAACTACTTTCAGGTGTTAAAGGAGCTGGAGCCTAGATGGGCAGATCTAGAAAAGAGCCTAGAGCATCACACAGGCAGTGTTGCATCTATACTTGCAAGGGAGTCAGGAGCCTGCTCTATGGCTCTGGTACCTGAAACCCTAGAAGGGACATTATCCTGTCCTGAAAGGGGAAAGCCCAAGATTGGTGCAGTAGACATGGCCACAATTATTTTTTTAACTGTCACTGAGAAGAAGACCATTATGTGGGAAAATGGCTGTTGCCCCAGATGATTCAAAAGCTAAAATTATCTCAACAGGAGTGAAGAATACCAGGTGGGGCCAATACACGAGCCACCTGCTAAATTTTTAATGAGTTTCTAAAATATGAGGGCACTTCAAAAAGTGCATGGAAAGATTCATATTATTTTTTAATCCTATTCTTCCTTGCGCTTTTTGAAGTACCCTCATAGATACCCTTTTTTTCTTTTTCGTGAGTGACAAGGGCCCTGGGCGTGCCAAGTGTCTTCTGTTTGCCTCTCCGTCCTGCTCCTGGCCATGAGGTTAATGAGTAGGGATCATCACATCAGCAAGCTTCCAGGCTCTTTGGCTTACATTTGGCTTCAGCCAATGGGAAGCCCTAGAAGGAGATCAGAGGGAGAAGAGAGGGAGGCTGGGGTATTTATTCCCCTGGCTTCCTCTCCGTCAGGTCGCCCGGGTTGGCTGTGGATGTCACTAAAGGTTACTTCTTCTCTCAAAGGGTTTTGCTCCATAGGACTCCCTCCTTCCAGGTGCTAATAACCTTTCCCTCTCTTCATCTTGCAGTGCTGGGGTGATAACACAGTTGCTGCCAGCCTTGGGGTTTTGCCCTAACCCTGTGGTTTCTGGATAGCCCATCCACTCCTTCATATTTGGTCCTTTTGTAAGTAAATCCTCTTTAAGTTACCCTGATTTGAATACACTATCTGTTTCCTGTTGGGGAGCCGGCTGCTACAGTGGGGGTGACTTGGGGGGTAGGATGAACTAGTTTGGGTGCCACAGTGGTAGGAGCAGGGTATAGAGAAGGGTCACCTTGTCAATTACCTGGGCTCCTCATGGACCTTAGAAAGAGCTGG